TGGTGGGAAGGTAAACTAGTACAACCACTATGGAAAACAGTGTGAAAATTCCAAAAGAACTAAAAGTAGATCTATCATTTGATCCAGCAATCCTACTACTAGGTATCTACCCAGAGGAAAAGAAGTCATTATAAGAAAAAGATACTTGTACATGCATGTTTACAGCAGCATGGTTTGCAACTGCAAAAATATGGAACCAGCCCAAATGCCCATCAATCAACAAATGGATAAAGAAAATGTTATATATAAGTATGCATAATGGAATACTATTCAGCCATAAAAAGCAATAAAATAATGATATTCACAGCAACTTTGATGGAATTGGAGACTATTATTCTAAGTGAAGTAACTCAGAAATGAAAAACCAAACACTCTATATTGTCATTCATATGCGGGAACTAAGCTATGAGGATGCAAAGGTACAAGAATGATATATTGGACTTTGGGGACTCAGAGGGAAAGGAGGGGGGTGGCAAGGGATAAATTATTCATTGAGTAGAGTATACACTACTCGTGTGATGGGTGAACCAAAATCTCAGAAATCACCACCAAAGAACTGACTCATGTAACCAAATATCACATTTCCCCAAAATTTATTGAAATATTGAAATAAAAAAATATTTTTTTAAATCAAGCACCTTCTCTGAACACAATGGAATACAACTAGAAATCAATAACACAAGGAACTGTGGAAACTGTGCAAACACACAGAAATTAAACAATATGCTGCTGAATGACCAGTGGGTTAATGAAAAAATTAAGAAAAAAATTGGAAAATGTATTGAAACAAATGGAAATGGAAACACAACATGCTAAATCTTATGAGATACAGCAAAAGCAGTACTAAGAGGGAATCTTATAGATAAGTGTCTACATTAAAAAAAAAACAAACTTAAAATAACCTAATAATGCATCTTAAAAGACTGGAAAAGCAAGCACAAACCAAACCCCAAATCAGTGGAATAAATGAAGTATTTAAGAGCAGGAGCAGAAATAAATGAATTTGAAATGAAGAAAACAATATAAAAGATAAACAAAACTAAAAGTTGGTGTTTTGAAAAATATACACAAAATTGACAAACCTTTACAGATTAACAAAGAAAAAAAGAGAAAATAGGTAAATGAAAACCTGAAATGAAAAGAGATATTACAAATGGTACCACATTGACTCAAAGGACCATTAATGGCTACCATGAGCAACTATATTCCAATAAATTGGAAAACCAAGAAGAAATGAATAAATTCCTAGACACATACAACCTATTAAGATTGAACCATGAAGAAATCCAAAGCTTGTACGGACAAATAACAGGTAAAGAGATAGAAGCCATGTTGAAAAGTCTCCTAGCTAGGAAAAGCTCAGGACCCAATGCCTTCACTGTTGAATTCTATGAAACATTTCAAAAGCTAATACCTATCCTACCTAAACTATTCTAAAAAATAGAGGATGGGGGAATAATTCCAAACTCATTTTACAAGGCCAGTATTATGCTGATACCAAAACCACACAAAGATACATCAGAAGAAAGAAAGAAAGAAGAAAAAGAAAGAAAGAAAGAAAGAAAGAAAGAGAGAGAGAGAGAGAGAGAGAGAGAGAGAGAGAGAGAGGAAGGAAGGAAGGAAGGAAGGAAGGAAGGAAGGAAGGAAGGAAGGAAGGAAGGAAGGGAAGGAAGGAAAAAGAAAGAAAAAACTATAGGCCAGTATCACTGATGAATATTGATGCAAAAATCCTGAACAGAATATTAGCAAACTGGATTCAACAATATATTAAAAAGATAATTGATCATGACCAAGTGGGTTTTATCTCAGGCATGCAAAGATGGTTGAACACACACAAATCAATTAATGTGATACAACATATGAACAGAATAAAGGACAAAAATCATATGATCATTTCAATTGATGCAGAAAAAGCATTGATAAAATTCACTTCACTTTTTGTCTCTTCATGACAAAAACCCTCAAAAAACTGGGTATAGAAGGAATATATCTTAACATAATTAAAAAAAAAAACATATATGACAGGCTTACAGCTAGTATTATAATGAATGGGGAAAAAAAACTGAAAGCCTTTCTTTCACTATCTGGTACATGATAAGGGTGTCCACTTTTACCACTGTTATTCAACATAGTACTTGAAGTCCTAGCTAAAGCAATCAGACAAGAGAAAGAAATAAAGGGCATCCAAGTTGAAAAGAAGGAAGTCAAATTATCCTTATTTGCAGATGGCATAATCTTATATTTGGAAAAACCTACTAAAGACTTCACAAAACAAAACTGTTAGAAATGATAAATAAATTAAGTAAAGTTTCAGGATACAAATTCAACAAACAAAAATCAGTAGCATTTCTATATGCCAACAGCAAACAATAAGAAAAAAAGATGTCAAGAAAGTAATCCCATTTACAATAGCTACAAAAAAAAAAAAAAACCCTAGAATTAACCAAAAAAGTGAAAGATCTCTACAATGAAAACTATAAAACATTAATTGCAAGAAATTAAAGTGGACACCAAAAAGTTTAAAGATATTCCATGTACATGGATTGGAAGAATGAATATTATCAAAACATCCATACTACCCAAAGCAATCTACAGACTCAATGCAATCTCTATCAAAATACTAATTATATTATTCACAGAAATAGAAAAAACATCCTAAAATCTATATGGAACCATAAAAGACTCAGAAAATGCAAAGAAATCCTGGGCAAAAAGAACAAAACTAGACAAAGCATATTACCTGATGTTAAATTAAATGGGCTATGGTAACAAAAACAGCATGGTACTGGCATAAAAACAGAAGCCTTAATCAGTGGAACACAATAGAGAACCCAAAGACAAATCCATAAATCTAAAGTTAATTCATTTTTGACCAAAGTGTCAGAAACATACATTGGGGAAAGGACAGTCTCCTTAATGAATGGTGCTGGAAAACTGGATATCCATATACAAAAGAATGAAACTAGATGCTTCTCACAATATACAAAAATTTCAACCCTCATTAGAAGAATATGAAACTGCCAATCTCCTTGTACTCTTAACAATACATGTCACTATTTTTTTTTAATCTCTGCTATTTTAATATATGGAAAATATTTCACTTGTGCTAATTTTTTTCTTCTTTGAGTTTAAACATTTTAGTCTCATTTAAATGTGCATTATGTGAACCTATGAAGCAGTTCAAAATAATATCTGTGTTTTATATTTGATAACAAGCAATATGCAAACAGTGGGAAAAGTACTATTATCTCTATTGCTGTTTTTGCAAATAGTGATGTTGATGCTCAGGATATCAAAGAAATTTTCCCAAGGTCAGTGAAAGATCAGATATTCTAGTACTCTTCCTAGTTCTCTCCGAATCTGAAGTTGCTAAGTAAACACAGAGACGGTAGGCAATCCTAGCTTTTCTAAGGGCAAATAAAAATGTAACACATACAATTCAGTGACGGAGTTGTCCCAGCACTCCCTTCTCCTCGCCTTTCCCTTCTAGTATAATCTTGGCAAAAGAAAGCAAAGGGAGGAGAAAAGTAAGGCAGCTGGGCTTGGGAGGTCTCCCAAGCATAACTAGAACATATTTTATTCACTTCAGCATTTGGCTCCACAACAGTACTTGAGATGACAGTCTGTGAGGTGCCTCAGGGCCAATCACATGGCCTCCCTACCGATGTCTTATCTAGGTTGCTTGCTTCAGCCTCCCTAGTCTCCAGTTTGCCTTTTCCATGGATATCCAAGAAGAAATGGGCCACTTGAGGGACGGTTGCTTCCCCCCATACCACACAAATAGGTTCATTTCCTAATTTTAGTTTCTGTGGTTTTAAAGAAGGATGCAAATGCACTAATCTCTTTTAGTCAAAGTAATATTTGATTTTGTCTTTCTAGAATATTTGTATCTTTCCTTCACACCAAATACTCAAAACAGACCTCTGTGGTAAATAGCTTCAGCATTACTTCAAGTGACATAAATAACTATCCATTTTACTCTAGAATATATGTATATACAAATATACACATATACGTGTGTGTGTGTATATACACACACACACACATATATACATAATACATATACACATACATATATATCTAAACATCCAGGCCAGGATGGTTTGTGTGGAGATGGAAGGATCAAACTACTTACAAAATTTAGGCTCAATTATGACCCCAATTCTGTTATATAGATTGCAATGAAAGTCCAGAATAAATCTACGTTGTTGGGAGTAATTCTAGATGGTTCCAATGGAGCTAAATAGATCCAACTTATAAAATCAAAGTGCAAGTTGTGTCATTTCTTTCCGCTTCCTTGACAATGTGAATTGGCTCAGTGGAAGGTAAAAGGCCAGAACAGTTTGTTATGAAGACCGATGCATGGAACCTCTTATAAAATCGAGACCCAGGGCATGTCCTCAACTCTTGAATCTTCCAGATTGTATCAAATGTCTCTAGCAAACCTGCACTGAGTAATCCACATTGGAGGATATTTCTCAGTGGGGACGGTTAAAGCAGATTTCTTAAAATATATGCCCTTAACTCTATCAGATGTCTCGAGCAATTCAGGGTTGCAGTTACCAGGACTATCAGGCCAGTGCAGTTTGCATTAAAGACAAATGCATCAGACCCTTGAAAAAATTGAGGTCTGAGGTATGTCTCAACTCTTCAGCTGAGGATATTAAGAGGTGACTAAATTCCATCTGCCATGAAGCCCCAGGTGGCAAATTATTTTTGTTTTGTGCTTACCTTAGGAAGCTGCCAAATGTAACTTCCAAAATCCACAAAGGGATAGAGATTTCCAAGCTGTGTTTCTAAAGAGAGGCAAGCCTGTTAAAGTATCCACTGTGATGCGGCTGAAGAGACTCTGTTCAGGTCCAAGACCATGTACTTATGAGTTTCATTGGGCCACACACCTGGATGGCCAACCTAGAACAGGGGAAAAGGTTCATCTGGGCCTTTGAGGCTGAAGGGACTCCATTGTTGGTCATCTCAGGAACTTTCCCTCCTTTAATCTTTTTTTCCTTTTTTTTTTTACTTTTTAAATAGCTTAATTGAAATATAGTTCATATACCACATAACTCACCCTTTAAAGTTAACAATTAAATAGCTTTTAGTATCTTCACAGAGTTGTCAAACTATCACCACAATCAATTTTATAACAGTTTCGCTACTCCAAAAAGAAACCCCATATCCTTTAGCAGTCGATGCTCCCTATATTTCCCTCCAAGACCCTCTTATCACTAGGCAACCACTAATCTATTCGCTGTCTCTATAGATTTGCCTAATCTGTACATTTCATATAAATGAAGTCATAGAATTTTTTAAATGTCTCTCTGAAATGTAGCTATCTTCATGTCTTATTAAAAAAATGAGTGCTTAGAGAAGTTAAGTAATTTCCCCATGGATACACAGGTATAAAGTGGTGGAGCCAGGATATAAACTAGGGTGTTCCAGAAAACCTTAGTTCCAGCCCTACCTTAGACACTGTTTTGGTTCGTGAAATAAAATGATTCAACACATACTTTGGATATGTTAGAAAAGACTTGGCAAGGATTTGTCTATAAGAATTCAGACAGAGAGAGCTCCTGGCTTAAGCAATTGGGTGGATGAAGGTTCCATTTATTGAAATATGGGGAAAATGGAGGGAAAGGTAGGTCAAGAGAGGCACATTAAGTAAAAAGCCAAACTAACACTACAGAAATTAAACCAAATCCTCACATTCTGAAGGTCTCCAGAGTACAAAAGTCAAAAACTAAAACATGGAAAAGGAGAAAGGAATATAGATATGAAGAACTGAACTGACTTAGCCATTATAGGCATTTCAATGAAGGAGCCAGAATAACTCCAAGACAAACAATTATTAAAAGTACAACTGAGGATAACTTATCTGAACTGAGGAAAAAGCTGAGAATATTGATAAAATGAGTCCCTCAAATTCCAGGCAAAAACAAAGAAGAGATCTACACCTAGATAAATATGGTGTGTATATGTTTGTGTGTGAGTGTTCATGTGTATGTGTGTGTGCATAAAGTCCTAAAAGGATCCAATCTAGAAAAAAAAGTGCTTAATAATAAAATAATAACTATAAGGCTGGACTTCTCTGGAAATTTTTCTCCTTCTGATATTTAGTATTGCAGAATTTTGCCAGGAAAATTAAATTACATACCTCAGATCTGTGAAACAAAAGGGCTGGCAACCATTGTTATCATCATTAAATACTATCACAGTGAGCCCTGAAGAAGCAGTATAGAGTAACAGAAAACCTGTCAAACTAGATGCTCTAAGATCTAGCTTGTGGTGTTGGTCATATGAAATTACTCAACCCCCTTGAGATCTGGTTCCTTCCGATTTAGTATCAGGATAATTATACTTTCTCAGACTTTTATAAGAAGGATAAAAAATGATAATCTATGCTAACTTAGGATTACAAATTCACCAGCAAAATCAGCCTAATGTTTTTTACTTTCCTTTCTTAAAGCAGTTCTGCTTCGTCCTTCCCTTCTTCACAGACAGAAATTTGTAGTTGAGACTCCATAACCTACGGGGACATAAAATTTCTTCTTTCTTCCTCTCAAACTACCAGCTTATCAATGTGGCAGCAACACAGATAGAAGCATCTCTTTTGCACAGAGAGTAGCAACTCTTTTGACAGTCTGGGTCCTCCAGAATTTGGTCCCATCTTGCTTGATAAATTATATCCCTGACCCTCTCAAGAGTGAAGCTGACAGGTCTTCCTATTGCATTACTGCTCCCTAATCTACTTTCCATCACTCACTCTGTATTATGGGTCTGGTTCATACCTGCCCTAGTACCTTTGCTAAATGGAGTTGGCTCAGCATCAAGGAAGAGATCAATAATCCACCTTTGCTATAAAGCTTTCCCCAAGAACTGCAACCATTGTAGAAAATCGATAATTCATATTTCTAAACTGTGGTACAAATAATGTGATTAATGGTCAGATAATATTCTTTAGTTTCTGTTCTTCCCAATTTGGTTCTGTACTATTCACTATTTTAGCTATATTTTATTGCATCCCAATGTTCACTGTAATTCTCTTGGTTGTTAGGGGTGGAGAAGTAGGATGTACAAACAGAGCCAGTAATGACATGAGAAAATGTTTAAGCTATAACAAAAGTTAAAACAAATCAAGATAAAATATTGAATTGGATAATAACCTCAACCAGAAAAAAATGTACAGAAGGAAGACTGGAAGGCTATATGATGAAATGATGGCAGTGATTATGACCAGGTGATGAAATATATTGTAAAATATATTTCACTTCCTTTATAGAGGAAGTGAAATACATTCAACCACATTCAATCACCAGAAGCATCTAAGATGTTCTCCACTGAGGCCAGCAACCAAAAATAATTAAAATGTATGTATAAATAAACCAATAATAATTCACATTCCCACAATGAACAGTTAATTACATATACAAGTTAACAAAATTAAAAGATATGCTTTTGGACGTAAATTCTGGGCTGCCATCCCTAAATCCTATGACATTTCTAAAAGATAAGTACTTGTTTAAAGTTTTTTAAATTAATTTTACCAGTAATAAAGAGGTTTATTACATAAAGGTGAAATGTAAAATATATTAATAAAGTAGCACTAGAGTCTAAAAATAAGTGAAACAAAAATGGCATACTTATAAAGATAAATTAATAAATCCACAATTATAGCAGAAGAGTTTTAATACACATCTGTCAAAAAGTGTCAGATCAATCATGCAAAATTTAACACAATCATAGATTTGAACTACATAATTTAAAAGCTTGATCTAATTAAACCATATAGAACACTGCACCCAATAATTAGAGAATATATATTTCTTTCAAGCACATGCAGAACATTAGAAAATACGATAACATATTGGCTGTATAGGAACTCCCAAAAATCCCAAAGAAATGCTTTTATAAAGAACAGAAGCTCTTTCCAAAATCCCAAGATCCAATAATAAATGATTACAAGAGAGAGGAAGGAAGGGAAAGAGATGGAAAGAGACCTACCAGCCTGTGTGTTCAGAAACTGAAAACATAATCTAAATAATGTATAGGCTGAAGATGGATTTTCAAATATTTTGAACAAGGTATACATGGTAAATACTTTAAAAATGAATACTTAAATAAATAGCCACCACATCAACTTTGAATTCAATCAGTCTAGATGATTGAGACTTGAATATGTGAAGAGACATCAGTGACTTGTCTCTTTTATCATATTAGATTCTTGATTTCTGTCCCTCCAAATACCAAACAGGATTCTTTGACAAAATTTCTAGAGAAAATATCACTTGGAGGAATTGTTAAGGAGTAAGTGAAATGGAAGGGATAATTGATGAAGCAAGGTAGGAGATTTGCCACGTAAGGATGGGACAAGAGTAAAAGGAGGACGGGGAAGTAGGACTAATTGACAAGTCTCTGTAGAAAACGAGGGACTATTTTATTCTAAGATGAGAGAGAAAGAAAAAAGGGATGGATATGGGAAGAGGCACAGAAAAGACTTAAGTTCATAAAATGGGCACTAACTCCAACTTTTGGTTATGTGGCAGCGTTGGGGTACTCAAGTCATTTATATTAATGCACTTAAAATCCTATGTTTTCTGCATTATTTTTTAGGCACACAATACATAGGGCATTGTAAAAATGATTTTACTACATTTATTTAAAGTTAAAAAGCAGTCATCACATCTCATATTTTTTCTTCCATTGGCTTCCCTCTACTCTGTCAAGTCCCTTTTCTTTCTTTATTTATAGCCTCTTTATCCAACCCAGTTTTTATCTTTCCTTTGGTGAAATTGTTTGTTCCATGTGCATTTTTAATCCATGTGCTGCTGACAGTGACTTTGTAGAGAGACTGAAATATATTCAATCACATTTAACCACCAGAAGCATCTAAGATGTCCCCACCAAGGATAGCAAACCAAAGTTGCTACTTGATCAGGGAGAACAATTCCTGCCCCAGCCATATGAAAGAGCCTCTGCAATCATTTTAGAAGGTAGATGTGTGTCAAACATATACAGTATGAGGCTCTCCAAAAGAAGGAAGCTGTGGCTTCCTTCCTTTGAAATGAATAATAGCACACTTTTCCAATGGGACACTTTGCAAGCAGCTGCATGCCCTCTAGTGATGTTACTTATCTATCAGATGTGAGCCAAGCACTGTTAAAACATTTGAAATGTATTTCATTCACCCTTTACAAAAACCATTTGAAATTATCACTATTATTTGCCCCATTCTACAGACAAGGAAACTGGGTTCTGTTTCACAATACTAGTGTATGGCATACAAGCAAATTGTTCTGGAATCAAGTTAAAGGATTCACATTATCTATGATAACTTTGTAAACTTCTCAGATTTAAATCAGGATTCATCAATTGTTTCCTGTAAAGAACCAAATAATACGTATTTTAGGCATTGTGGGTCATATAGTCTCTGTTGCAACTACTCAGCACTTCCATAGTGGTGTGAAAGCAGTCATGGACAGTATATAAACAAATTGGCATGGCTGTACACCAAACTGTATTAATGGACCCTGAAATATAAATTTCATATAATTTTCACATATCACAGAATGTCATTCGTCTTCAGAATTTTTCAATCATTTAAAAATGTAAAATGCATTCTTAGCTTGTAGGATAAAATTGGTTTCAAGTGTAAATTTTAGCAGAAAAAGCAGACAAGAAGGCAGGAAGAGAAAAAGAAAAAGAGAGAAGGGGAGAGAGAGTGAGATAGAGAGATAGAGTGAGTGTATGAAAGAGAGAGGAGAAAACACTGTGATCCAGTCATTACATTTCTAAGAATGTATCTTAAGTAATCATAAAAGTGTGCAAGATTAATTTCTCTTTAAGAAACTTCATACCAGCATGATTCATAATTCTAAAAAGGTGAAAATAACCCAGATGAACAGCATGAGGAGATCGGTTAAGAATATACAGTAAGTCAGTGAAATACTATATTGAATGTCATGTGGTAGAAGAGTATTAATGATGCAATCATGTTTGTAAGACAATCAAGAAAATATAAAATATCTTGCTATGTATCATTTTTGCTAAAAAGCATATTCAAAGACATAAAAAGATGGAATAATATGCATCCAAATGTTAACAGTGGATATCTCCAGCTGGTGAGATTTAATGCAATTTTTCTTTTTTGTTTTTCTACATTTTAATATATTTTACAATGCATATATCTTACTTTCATAATCAGGATAAAATAAGTTCAACTTCTACCTGCTCCATACCAGTCAGTAGTGTTATAAAATTTCTGAAGAATTACTAAATGTTTCTCCAGGTCTAAAACATTTTTGGCTTAGGTTCATTAAAAAAATAAAAATAAAAGTTGGTTTTGTTGTTGTTGTTTTTCAGAAGAGCTGGTTCTTCTGTTCATAGAGAAAGTGAACCTACAGACAACCAGCAGTGCATGGAAAGCAGTAATCAATGAAGCCCACACATAGTGCCCCAAACATATTTTTGACCAAAAGTCTCCCTGTAAGCCATTTTTTAAAGACCATTGCAATGTAAATAACTTTAAATCTGTATCTAAGCCAGCTCCCAGCATGATAAGAAAAACTGACATAAAGTACTATGTAAGTTTAGGATCCTTATACAAACACAAGCTCTGGACTCCAAGAGCTCTCTCCCATGACTCACTTTTACACAACTCACAAAATTCCAAGGAAGCTCCACAAGGCTTCCCATTGGCCTTATGCACCAACCTGAGGCCAGCAAATCTCAATATTCCTCTATCCCATACTTGTCATCCTTGGATATTGCCCAGAATATAAGTCCCTTTGTCATCTATACTCTCATTCTCACCCCACTGTGCTGGTTCTCTCTGCCTCAAGATTCTACTGCTGCCTTTGTCCATAAACATTCTCATAGTATCTTCTGGATCCTTAAGATCATGGTACATTAATTCATATATTTCCTAAACTTGACAGAATGCTTCTCCATCTCATATCTTTAATGGAACCGGGCCCTTCTCTGATGAGACTGCTTTCCCTGAAGGGTTTCAAATGAAGACTCCTTATTCTTTCATCTACTCCCACCATTGAAGGATCAGAGCACTGGTGATCTGGCCTTGTTGTTTCCCATCCAACATCATGATCATTATTCATGGATCATTAATCTGAAGACCTCTGATCTTTTGAAATGCTTATTTCTCAACTGTATACCTCTCTAGGCCTCCCAATAATTCTTCCACATTCAGGGTGATTCTGGAGTATAGTTTATTGCTTATTCTACCTCATCCTGATATTACCCTCAAAGATACTTGCCATCCATAAGTTTTTGCATTTCCTCCCAGCCTAGTAGATGTCTCCTATCTTCACTTTCTTTCCTGCCCTTCCTGGACATGATTGCTATAATTACAAATTACTTGTCCTCCAGTCCCCTCAGTGCCTTTTCACCACTGTCCTTCCGCCAAAACCCTAAATCCTAAACCCTGGTCCAATTTCACAATCCACCCTTTCTGCTTTACACAGCAAGAGAAAGACATGCAAACCAGGAATTTTGGCATCATTACAAATTCATGATTGCCAATCTTTGCTGGAGTCTCAGCAACACTCTTTTATACTTTTCTTCTGTCCATTTTCTATTCTCCTCAATGATCCTGTTCAGCCTTTATTCCCTTGCTCAAAACTCCTTAGCTCAATCCCCATCCCTTCTTCCAATTTCAGTATTTGGCTGGCCTTTCTGCTTCATCAAGACAGTTAAGGCCATCAGCTATGATTTTCTTTAACTTTTCACATCACAATATAAGTATTTACTAATCAAGAGTGAGGACTGTGGGGTCCCTCATCCAGTTCAAGGTCAATCAATTCCCTCTGTGCCCTGGTCCATATCTTTATGTTGCTTCTGGGGCATTGGTCTTCAAGTCCCTTCCTATATCTCAAACCATTCTCTTCCTTTTCTTTCAGACTCCAGTAGTTAATAGAGATGCTCCATTTTTTTTAACTTGAAAAAATACCTCTTCCTTACAGAAGTCTTTCCTCTAGAAACCACACTCCTCTTCCCAGAAAAACCTTTGGAAGGACTAAGCTATTCACTAACAATCTTCTCTCTTCCCTCATTTCCTACTCATCCCTCATTCTGCGTGTCTGTTGTCCTTCCAATTTCATGGAAGGGGCTCCTGGTAAGGTCAGCAGTGACCTCCCATCTATAAAATCCTATGGCTGTTTTCAGTCTTTATCATTCTGGACCTCTCTTCTACATCTAAAAATGTGAACACTTCCTCCTCCTTTGCATCCAAAACAATGCAAACTCCTTGTTCTATTTGTACCTCTCTGACTCATGGACTCTCTTGTAAGGCCTGCCACAGGATCCAGAACTAGACTTGACATGTGCATGCTTAATGTTGCTCATTATATTCCAATTTCCATTGCCCCAACTTCCCTCCCCTTACACCACTTCACTGGTGAAATGTCCCTGTTACAATTTTCAATACCTAATTAACATTTTTAACAATAATACATATCTATTAAAAGATGATGCCCTCATCATCTTTATGTCACATTATGTGATATAATTTTTTTTAAATGTCAGCATATTTCTCCTTGAAGTTAGGAGACCCACAGCATGGAATAGAGTGCCTTGGTTTAATAATTTTAAAATAAGAATATCAACTTATTGTTAAAATATTATGATTAATATATGAGATAGAGTGTGCCAGAGTGACCAGAATACTGCCTGGCACAAAGTAAGTCACATAAAAAATGTTTACTGAATTCACATCTAGAGTCAGTGAGTCTCCTTGGTCACTAAACAATTGGCCAATTTGAAAAACACAGCGTTAGTCAAGGCAAGTAGCAATAAAGAGGTAGGAGGACTTGAGCCTGAGCTCCCACAGCTGGCGGGCACAGTAAGTAAGGGAAACCTTTGTTGCTGCTCCAACCAGTGTTCATTCAGCATTCTCTTCCCCAAACTGTGACCCAGCACACCTTGGCACACTCCTTTATAAAACTGTGGAACACCAGCATAAAGAAAACCAGTGGCAGTGGCAGATGGACTGGATACTGATTTTTCAAACAGTCATTTTGGCATTATGCATCCAGTCTTTAAGTAATTCTCCTCCCCAAGATTAATGAGGTCACCATGGGAGTTTGTGAACAGACAGAGGAGGTGAAACTGCCACATTTCTTTAACTCCTCTTTTTTGGCTGTCAAGTGAAATTACTCAGTGTGGCTTTAGTAGTGCCTAAGGCAATCACAAATTTAGCACACATTACACATATCCATTGCATCTCCTCTACTGTGCCTTTTATTCAAAGTGGCATTTGATTGTATTGGGAAAATATTTGTTCTTATGTAAGATTCCTTAGACCTTATAAAATGTACTGTCACTTGCAATCTAACTGATACAAAGATGTTTACATAATGCGACACTGATCTTTTTGAATTTGGAAGTGGCATTAATACATAACCTTTTTCCAGAATGGCAAGCAGGTTTTCATTCTACATTTTCCCCAAAACATAAATGTTTAAAAACTTATCTGTGCAGTTAATAAACTTTATTATATAGGAAACTTTCAGTGAAAAGTAATACAGATTGTCACATATTTTCTTTCCTGACTCCAAAGGACTCATTTGTAAGTTTTAAAATTCGCAAGCCATTTGTCTCCCTAAATATAATATCATACATACTTTGAAGTTACCACATGGATTCAGTTTACATCCAAATGTATACACTGACAGTGACATTTAAAACACGTAACATCGATTAACATCTGTTCTTCTTTTGTTCAAAACACAGAGAGGTGTGTTTCCAGTCAAGTTTTCATTCAATACTAATAAGCTATAAGTAGAGATATATCTGTAAACATGTTAAATAAAAGGCCCAGGGCCTTTTATACTCTCTCTTAATGTCACTGCAAATAAAGAAACAGAAAAATGCAGGCAGACAAAAAAATGAAAGGAAAATTCTAGACTCAGAGAGAAAGAATTCTGGGACCAAGATACATCTGTTCTCTCAAGGCAGCCATTTCTTCTCAAATCTTTGAAACAATATCACAAAGTGTCACAAGAAAGTACACACTGATACTTATTTTTGGAAAATTGTTTCTACATGCTTTCAAAAGAATGAACAATACAAAAAGTTTTAAGGCAGACAGTATCAATCACACAGGACCCCTCCACCCAGAGAGCATTAACAGTATTTAAGCACATGCTTCTCCAATTATACTTGTCTAGGAGTAAGTAAGCTAACACACACATCTCCACTTAAATACATCATGCGGGGAAAGCTGAGATTACAATGTATACAGAGCTCTTTCTGTCAGCATTACACTAAAAATATTTCTCATTTCAATAAATATCTTTATAAACATATTTTTTAGTATTTATATCTAAAACTCCATCCACATGGAAGTGTCAAGCTAAAAATAAGTCCATAAAAATGGTATTGAGACTACCTTGGATTTGGTAGGAAAATCTGGAGCTTGGAAGTGATTAAAGCAGCCATACCTCACACAAACAGAGTAATCCTCGACTTCTTATTTCAATTGTACGGAATGCCTTGGAAATAAATTCCTGGAATTGAGGCAATAGAGCAATCAGATATTTGTGCTATGGTAAAAATACTGAATGATGATGTGGAAACCTCATGTCATTCTATCTTTTGTTATAGGTCCTGAAAAGGTCCACACCACATGTTTAGGTTAGGTTAAGCCAGAAGAGAGAGGAGGAGAGAGAGGGAGAGAGAGACGGGGAGAGAGGGTATGTGTTGTAAAGAAGTATATGATCACAGGAGCACTTTAATAAAATAAGTTCTGCTTTAATCTGTTTTATACACATTGGATGGACTCGTTGGTAGCTTTTTAAAAATAAAATAAGATTCCACTGCCAAATACATAAATGCTTACATAAAATGCTTACATAAAAACATATATACAATAAAATAATGAGAAAAAATTTTAACACACTAGTATAGGATAAAGAACTCAATACTGAGCCCATGGATTGAGTTCATTTCATAGCCTAGTCATGTCAGTACCTGTATGATCTTAAGGAAATCAGCTTTTTCTCTCAAAGTCTCAAATTTCCTTACTGTGAAATGGAGACAGAAATATCAACCTCACAGGATTATTATATGTATTAATGAATTGTATAAAAGAAAGCATATATCATGGTACTGAAGGAGTGCCACTCCAAAATATGCCAAATAAGTATATTGACTATTTCAAATTGAAAACACTGGAGAAATTGTAGTTTCAGAAAGTGTGAGCTGACCTGGCTCCTCTTGCATTTAGCAAGCCATTAAAACCCTGAAGATTCCTCTAGAAGGTGTGCCCTCTCTAAACCAGGGTGAGAAAACAGTCCTTATTACCACACACATAGCATTGATGGCCACCATGGACATGAATAAACATACCTAATGAAGTAACTCGTATCTTTCACCTGTTTTACACCCCTAATATATCTCCTAGTGATTCCCCTAGGAAATTTTACTGCCCTAACCAGATCTTCTTAGTCTTATCATTTCTTTTCAAATTTATTGCTCTTTGTCTAGAAAATGTAAAAGCAACTTGCTTTGGCCACTTGTTTAGTCTTCACTCTTTATGAAGATCCCCTATATATATAAAACTAATAAAACCTGTCTGCTTTTATCTTGTTAATCTACCTTCTGTCAATTTGGTTTGTAGATCCAAGCTGAATAGCCCAGTAAGAGCTACAGTAGGGCTGGAGGTGATCTCCGGCTGTCCTACAGTAACTATTGCATAGTAGTTACTTAACATAGGTTACATGAGGCTCAATTTACCTGCTTAGTGGTCCCCAGCAAGATGAAATTAAAAGAACATCATCATGAAGTCAAGATCTCAGACTCACTCTATGATACTATACATAATCTCAAATAACGTCAACCAGTTAGTTGAATAGTCAGGACTAGGGTTTGGCAAATTTTCTGTAAAGGATAGATAGCAAATATTTTTAATTTTGTACACCATACCATCTCTGTCACAACTATTCAACTTTGTAATTATAGTGCAAATGCAGAAATAGAAATATGTAAACAGATAAGCATGTTCCAATAAAACTTTACTTACAAAAACATGTGGACTGGTCTGCCGGCACTACTTTGCCAACCCCTAGTTTCAAAAGTTAGACAGAATCAGCCTAGCAAGTAATTTAGGAGAACCATGGAAAAAATCCTCCATAGAACTTAAGAATAAGAAATAAAGTGAAAGCCTGGATGCCAAAGAGTCCAATGGGAAAGTTATAAGCTGCATTTTTTTCCCAGTAGCCTTGAACCTAATAATAAATTATTTTTTTGATCTGAGAGCTAAGCCTTAACAACTTGAGCCAGTGAAAGCTGGCCTTATTATGAGGAAGCTCCAGGACCTCTAACAATCCTACCAGACTCTGTGATGGTAGCTTCACACCAATGTTGGTATTTATGTGTGCCTACATCCGATGTGTAATTTAGGCGACTGTTTCAGTTATCTACTGCTGTGTAAAAACCACCCAGAACTAGTAATTCAAAATAACATTTTACTATATTACCTCATAGTTCTGTATATTTACTGTATTTACTATATTACCTCATAGTTCTGTATATTAACTGAGCCAAACTAAGAGGTTCTTAGATCTCTCCTGCATTTGCAGTCACCAGGGCTGCTTTTCTAAAATGGCTATTTTACTCACATTTCTGGCACCTCAGCTGGGACAACTAGAGCAGCTGAGGGCTGGTCAGACATCTTTCTCTCCATGTGGCCTCTTCCTATTTAAGTTTCTTCAACATGGTGGAGTAAGACAGTCAGACTTCTTGCCTGGTTCCCAGCTTCTCCCAGAATAAACATTCCAAGAAACCCAGACTGAAGTTGCAAGTCTTCTTATGATCTAGCCTACAAAGTCATGCATTGTCACTTCTGCCACATTCAATTAGTCAAAAGCTAGTCCAGGTTAAAAGGGAGGGCTTGAATCCAGGGAAGCATAGTTCACCACAGACATGTTAAAAGGTATACATTTTAAAGATCCAGTTGTTGAAATAGGTCTTGGATAACTTATTTAAAAGCCTGAAGCCAAAGTATTTTACAAACTCCAAGCTTACACTGTCTACTATAAATGTGTATCTCCCTAGATGATTTGGCTACAAAGTACAACATGTCAGCAGTTTAGTCAAAATCTCATCCTCTTCAGGGATACTCAGAGCCACTTTACAATAAAGATGTAAGATCTCTTCAAAGAAGCTTAAAATATCTGTAAAACATTTTTAAAGCTGAATTTTGAGGTGAAAAGCAATAATTTCCCAAGACTCTATACATAAAACCCATTTGAAGGTAAATCCAAAGCAAAAAGGCAACAGTTCCTGAAATATTTGACAAAACGTAGCAGAAGGATGACCCAACAGAGAATCTCAGCATTATAAGGGACCCAAGAGAGTATCTAATTCAATTTCCCACACAACAGAGATAGTCTTTTCTGCAATAAATTATATGGAATTTTAGGGAACTGACATTTTTAACACCTACTCTATGCCCACCTCATTAACTCCTCCCAACAACTTTATGAGGTCATTTTAAAGTAGGCAATATCATTACTCCCATTTTACAGATAAAAAAACTGAGACTCTCATAAATTAAGAGATTTGCCCAAGGAAACATATGTAGAAATTGGCAACAATAGAATCTAAAATATATTCTGGGTTGATGCAAAGTAATCAAGCATCAATTCTGTCACAAAGTAGCCTATTCCAATATTGGGCAGTTCTAAAGATCAGGGGGAAAAAAGCACATTCTTCAGCAGTTTCGGCGGTCAATCAAGAAGCCTCTTCATAACAGTGGTTCTACAACTCTGATCAGATTCTCAGAAAAGGACAACTCCAAAAAGTTTAATAGCAACCAATCCATAAGATAGTTATGTCCAATGAGAATGGACCAGGTGTCTATCCATAAAGAGCAAACCTAGATCATGATCTTCATGGCTTCACATTCCAGTTGAGCCAACAGAAAATGCATCTATGCAACCACAGCAGGTAAAAAATAATATTAACACTAAATGTTAATATTATTAACATTACGTAGATCCTTACCCCTCTATAGATAAGTAATTGGGCTAAGCAGATACTTTCCCCGTTAAATGTTTTGCACATAGAACTCTTTCTCTAAATATTTGCTGATGCCAAATATAAGATACAGATTAAAATGGAATTTCTTTAGTACACATGATGATAGTTTGCCCATAGCCCTTTCTATTTAGCTTTCCTTGGACACCAAACCACCCATCTTCCACCATAAAACCTTTGAGATCCCTTCAAAATATACCTATAGTGTTCTTTAGAAGCACAGTTTGAAAACCACCAAGTGTAACTGTTAGAATGGTCTCTGAGAACTCATTTTTCTCTATACTTCTAGCACTATGCCTCTGTATTATACCTAAGTAGCCAATGAGCATATAATGTGTTCCTAGTTAGGTTACACAATGAGTTGTTTGGGAATGAGAGTGAATGAGGAAAAGTCATTCTGAGAAGGAAAGAGTAGAACGCTCAGAGATATAAACAAAGAGGAACTTGGCTTAGGTATTGGGAGGCAAAGGTAGGAAGAAGGAAGGCACCAGCCAAGTCAATGAGTAGCCTAAGGAGTTTTGATCCATCAGTAGAAGCAAGAAAAAAACTCATGTATGCACTTTGCAGCTCACTACTTCCTGCTCTGCTGGGGTCTGAATGATAGAAGAACCATGACAACTGATGTGGATGGATGTTTCTTTATTCAGTTCTCTACCACCTTCCTGCTGCAAGTTAATAACCCTGCAGTCTCAGGAGGCAGATCACAAGTATTTCAAAGGAAACAAGGAGAACTTCAATGGACTTTCTGTTCTTCTTTGAATTTTTTTGGTGCCAAGGAAGAATCAGGCTTATTTGTCAGCTCTCCTTTCCTGGCCTGGTAAAATAATTAGAAGACCAAAGTCAGAGTATCCGATTATACTATTTTAAAAAAAGACCTGCAGTTCATATTCAGGGCTAATTTAGAGAGATTTTTTGGGGCCTTCCTTTTTCCTCAGCTCTGTAGAGAAACTCCTAGCTTATACTGGATCATATCAAATCAGAGCAAAATTAGACTTTCTGGCAACTCTTGCTTTAACAAATCAGTTTTCATTGGAAAAGTAACTTACATTTGACACTTTTCTCTTCATAACTGATTTGCAGAGTAAATAAGTAATGTTAATAATAACAATAAAAATGATTAAATGCATTCACACACTTTATAAAAGACGAAAGCTGAAAGTTCACACTTTTTCATTCCAATGAAGTAAGTCTTTCCTTGACATTTGGATTTAATAGACCTTTATTAATCACCAACTTAGGTATAAGAAAATTTTCATCAGGTGATTATAAAGCTTATGTCATTGCTCCCATTTTAGAGATGAGGAAATCAAAGTTCAAAGTGATGTACTGGCTTGTCCAAACAAACATTGTTAGGAAGCAGAAAGATGAAAAATTGTTTACTTCAAATTCAGAGCTATTTTCAATATACTACAGGGCCTTTCTTACAAGGAAACAGTCAAAATTGTACTGAGAAAAAAGTCACGTAAATGTAAGTGACATTTTACAACACCCGCCTCTGTGCTTCTAACCCTTAACTGTCATATTTCAGGCACTTTCCACTTTTACATCAAATGACTGTAGCACAGGGCAGAGCTTCTGAAGCTTTGAAGCATTGAAGCATTGAAATAGGCAATGGTCTTGGAAGCATTCAAGCTACCAACTAATATGACCTTTTCTTGCATAGAGCAAGTGTTAACTAAAAGTGAAAATTAGTTTGGGATGAGCTGATTTCTCTCCATTGCTACATGTCTTATTACAATCTCTAACATAATATTTGAAGAGAAAACCATCAGCAGGGAAAAGTAATGTCCAGCTACAGGGTCCACATGCTGTCTGAGCATTCTATCTTCTCTCACTGAATGATTATGTCAACCTTCTCTAAAAATGACCTCTCTCAGCATTATTGACATATATCAAGTGCCTTTCAAACATGAAAAACAAAAACTTTATAATAACAACAGCAAAATATATGCATTGAGTACTGACTCTGTACCAGGCACCATGCTAGGTGCTGGAAATACAGTGACAAAGCCAGGGTCCAGAACCTATAATCTAACAGAAGAGGCAGATGTTTACCAAGTAATCACCATTCATTGAGACAAGTGGCTCAATAGAAAAAGTACCTACAGCAGGGAAGCAAGTCTGAAAACTCAAAGAGGAAGTGGCATCTAAAGCAAAACATAGAAAGAATGAGGGGGAGTTAGCTAGGTGATTGGGGGAAGCAGGGAAAGAATGTGATCCAGAGGTAACAACGTGTATGAAAACCCAGAAGCAAGAACGACAATGTTCTGGAAACCAAACTATGTTTATCCCGATGACCCTTGTATGTGGGAGTGGAGGAGAGGGGAAGTGATGAATGGCTATAATGTTGAAAAGTAAATAGGGGCCCAGTCTTAGAGATCTCATAGGCTATGGTGTCTGGAGCCCAGCAGGAAGTCACTAAAGTAAATAGCTTGTTCTTCTTCTGTGGCTTGCAAGTAGCAAATGTGGATTGCAAGCATCTTGAAGACTGGGTGTATTTTCCTTAAATACTTGACTTGTTGATTTTTCTACTATTTATTTTGGTTAAATAGAAGTCTTCTAAGGATAGATGAATGCTCTGAAAAAAATCAAAGTTTTTGTGGTGTTGGGGGATTGGAATTTGGAATTATTTTTTTAATTTCCTTTTTCTTTAGTTTTTAAAGCTATTGGTAATAATTCTTCATTTGTTATTAAAACATGAAAGAACTTTGGGAATGTTTTCATAATAACACAAAAGACGATGTTTTCTATTATTTCTGCAGCAGGATTGGCTCATATCATTCAATTTGCTGAAATATCTCCTAGCAGTAACTAGACTCAGTATAAATATCGCTTGGCAATGATCTGTCTTTCTATCATCTCTCCATCTA